ACGATAAGAAGTACGAGCTGGTGCTCGCAAGAACCTTAACTCTAACTCAGCTTACCATGGCATTTACTCGTCTGGATCTGTGTGTATTGAATACAATTCAATAGGTGGTTGAGCTTTAGGGCTAAACTAATGGCAGAATTATTTGCTGTCTGATGTAATGTACATATGTAAGGTACCGTAGAAGATCTAATATTTGGGCGCTGTACTAGAGATTTCAGTCGTGTACTAGGAAAAAGATGAAATGCCCTCTACATGGTATCGAGCTTAACGATGTTTCGACGGTGGGCTAACTTAGATCCATTTGGCCTTATAGAATCCATTGCTTGATGCCCACTTAGTAGCTGAAACAGCCCAAGCAGCCAGATACAGCGGAAAAACTGCCCCCCAGCATTCATACATTGTTTGTATACAGTCCCAGCCAGATGATAAGAGCAGTAGCATCAACGGAAACGAGCAATTAGGAATGAATGGACCTAGCCTCGCTCGATGCTTATTTGCTTTTTTCGTTTCTGATTGAGTTGTTTTAAGCAGACTTCCTTAGCGAAGATACGTTCCCCCACCCCCCCACTCTTCAAATCACTCCTCTTCATCCCAAATCTAACCTGTCAAACGCCGTTGCGAACAGTGACATACAAATTCTCACAACAGCACTAGCAGTTGTACCCGTAACAGCATCAACAATTTCAAAGGATTTGTCGTGCCATGTTGTTGCCGCACCTACATCCAAACACACAGAGCCAATATCGAGCAAATGCTATTGCACGGATGTACATAGCCTCCCATTAGCCTAATTGTTTATTTTAATGTAGAACTTCTCTCAGGAATTTTGCGAATGAACTCATTGAAAAATCGACGGGTGGAAAGAGCGTTCGCTCTTTCGACGGTTGCACGCCGCTCGTACGCCAGAACCGCGTAGTCTTGGAGCAGTTCTAATGGTGGCGGCGGCGGCGAGTCGAATTGAAAAAGGGCAACAAAGTTCACCATATGCAGCAGCAGCGACGGCTTTCACCATCTGAAAGCTGTGGGCATACGGATATTGGTAACGCTCCTGGTCTTCCCGACCTCTGAGCTTTTCGATGATGGCGTAGTCGGTCGCAGCAGAAGTTGGAAATCGATCAGTGTCGTAGCGTTCCGCAGCATCTTCTCTAGCTGCTGAAGATCCTCGCAGTTGTTGTAGCTGTGACTACCGCTGCTGCTACTGCAGTTGCGACGTCTCCGTTTAGTAATCGTTAGATTGGATTGCCCTACATGTTCGCTGATAGACGTTGTCTATGTTCAGCGAATTGCTCGTAGGAGAGTTTTAAAAGATACGCATGCTAATAGAAGAAAAATAGGCAAAAGAAGAAGCACTAGCGAAAGGAAGAAAGGTTTTTTTAAAACAACTTCTGAACTTCATTAACGTGGCCACGATTGGACCGGTTTAGACAGCGTTGCGTTGCTGTTGCGCGACCATCACCGCCACTGCATCCGTCTTGGTCGTCACCGGCTTTGAAATATAGGAACTTCGTTGTCCTTCCTTCTCGTCCTCGTCGTCCCCACCGGTGAACCTATACTGTGCCAGGAGCAGCAAAGCAACCAGACAGGCAGGAGTTGACCAGGCGGCGCTCTAAGTCGGCGTCGAACTACCATCAAATCAGTAGCTACCGTCAACGATCGATCGTTGAATACGAACGAATGCGGCATCCTCCAGCAGCAATAGTGACAGCAGTGGCAGCAGCCGCGTCAGTAACAGCTTTTCTGCAGCTTTTCAGGCTGCTTCTTGCCGGCTTTTCGGTCGTTTTGCCCGTCGCCCTCGCCAATAGACTGCCGTAAGCCTGCCGAAACAGCATCTATAGGCAAGCAACTATAAACATATGAACCCATGCTTCCGTATATCTATATACGTTCCGATGCATATTTTTTACTTCTATGGTATATAGTGCACAGATGTTGTGCGCTGTACGTAGGCTGTATAGCCGGGCTATCGCGAATCGTTGCCGCCTGTTGGTCTACCTGCAGGCCAACAGGCCGATCGGTCGGCCTATTCACCGCGTCCCTACCTTCTGGTCGTACGCGTGATATCTAGGCTTGTTGCTTGATGCTCTTTCTAGCTGTTTCTGTTGTTCTGACTGCTCTCGCCGCTGTAGTTCTCGGGGCAGTTGATATCCATCCGCGCAAGCGTTTTCAACCAACGGGTGTGTGGTGTTCGAGTGACGTTGCTAGAGCGGCCGCGACTGCTGCCGGTCCTTCTACCGATTTGACCTATCGCGATGCGCGGATGACGTCCACGAAGAGCAAAGGGCTAAGTAGGTACTCAGGGCTACGCAGCTGTGTACTATAGTATAGTGGAATGGTTGCTGATTCGGTGCTGCTGGACGCTGGCCGGGGTTCTGGTCAGGGACTACGAAGCGGACGGCCGTAATGGTGACACCGGGTCCTACAAGAGATGCCGATTCCTCCTCGCGGCGACTATCGTCATCAATATGTATTTCTTGTAGTCAATGTATGTAATACGGGAAGACAATCGAATGTAAGATCTATGACTATGGAGGACAAGACACAGTTTGCGGCAGGACTAGTCGTACCCGATACCTAACTGAGTCCGCAATCTTCCTGGAACAGATTCAGTTCACTGGTAGATAGTTGGCTACGATGAAAATCGTGGGGTGAAAACAACGAGCGAGAAAGAAAACAGGGCAATACGATCCACTATAGAATGCTATTGAAGAAAGGAGGGCTAAATCGGAGTGGCACGGCAATAAGAGAATCGCGGTCCCGCCAGAGTCGCCTGCCGCAGTTCTCACCTTAGCCAGCGCCTGAAATCAGTTCGAAATATAGAGGGGCAAAAGAAAGATGGCTTCCCCAATGGTGAACGCAAAAATTGCGACAGTGGGAAACATAGTTGGTGTTTAGCGATCAATAAAAGGAGACAATTGAGGTCGCTCAAAAGCATCAACTTTAGAAGCAGTTCCTGATCGACAACCTAGCTATCGCAAGAAATGTCAGTTTTCCCTGTCTTTTATTCTTTACATTTCAGTTACGCGCTGAGTGTCATAACCTTAGCGAGACTGCGAGCTGATAAAAAAAAAAAGGTTTCTAGATTTCCGGGGCGTAGATTTCGGCAAATCATTGGTTAACAATGCATTTTGCTACGTAAGAAAGAGGAAAAGCTGTTTTTCTTTTTGAGAAAAATTCCTGCTGGTGTGTGCTTGCTAACGACGTTGCCTTGGCACGTCTATGAACCCTGATGGCATGAAGGCGGTTGATGCTCTGGCTGATACTGTCGTTATTCGAAAAGACTAGAGCGCCCAGAGATTCGAGGCATAGCTGTACAAAAGGGCCAGTATTGTAAATGATTGTCTAATCCATTATATATAACATTGATCCATTTTACACTACGTATTTCTATATACTTTTACATATACACTGTCCTTTAGAAATTTGTCATCCTGTACTCTGTACGTCACAGCAACCGCTCGCTAACAAACACACAATAATCTTTTGAGCTGTACACGTTCAACAGAGTTGACAAGTCATGCTGATTTATTATACAATGCACATCGTTAATAGCATACTGACTTCTGCAGCAGTAGCACCACTAGAAACGACGGCCAAATTATAAACCTCTGAATTTAGGCGAACTTTACTCCGCTTTGTAATGGTATTAGATCAAATCGGATGCAGTAGGTAGATGCCACCACGCCAATTCGATCGGTGCCGCAAATATCCAAGGTAGTACCACAGAAATATTGTGTGGGTACGCAACGAAGATTATCGATAGTTAGGTGATGCGATCTGTTCAGCTGTGACGTTTGTGTTGTTTCTGTGAGTGGCAAAGGGACGTCGTTCAATGTGAGAGTGGCATGAAGATTTACGATAGCACCGTTCACCAGCTAAAGGGGCAAACGCTATATTGTACTAGTAACATAAGTGATCACAAACGCAGTAGACGATACATTAGTGGTTGGAGAGGGAAGCTCCTATGAAAGTTGTTTGTTGTGCCAAAGTCCACATAGCGACGGACACACACAAAAATATACACACACACACACACACACACACACACACACACACACACACACGCATGCACGAAATAAGGCTCTTCGTATGATAGTGACGTGGGACTTCGAGTATAACGTTGATTAACGTTACACTCAAAGTATATTGGTATAAGTCTATGAGCGTGAGCCTTATGGTAGGTTTGGTAGCATTTTGTCAGACCACAAGATGTGTGAACGTGAAGCACTGAACACTCGTTATCACCTCGCCAATCATTTAGTGCATGTTTTTTTAGCTGGCAAACTATACGCAGTTTCTGCAAAATACGTTTAAAGTCAATGAAGGGAATGGTCTCGCCTGGAACCACCAGCAATTAGCGACGGTTGCAGGATCTAATATAGCCCTGGACTGGATTTAGGAGTGCGTAACTGCTAGTTATGTCAAATCACCATAGGTGGCATTTTCGGCGCCAAAACTACAAGGGGAAACTCCCCGCATACAAAATTCTCGCGTCAAACAAGAACAAGGAGAGTGTGGACACCCTAAAGTGTCATAGGATTTGAAACGCTAAACAGCAGCAATAGCAGATGCAGTGAGATAGCTTTTCTCTAGCTAAGCTTTAACAACTAAAGGAATTACCTCGTCGGGAAAAGTTAGAGAATTTGTTGAAAGAAGTAGCAAAATGCAATCGCTCATTTTTTTGTAGACCACTAATCTGTTAGCCGACACATAGATTTACCGGCATTGGCCACTAATTGTGTCTCCTTTCGTTCAGCATTCACCGAGCGGTTAATGTCCTTTCAGTTGTCCCTTCTGGAACAGGTCCATCTATCGCTATATTACACTGATTCACAGACCTGTCGGGGTAACGGGCTTGATACGAGCAATTTGGAGGGAGTAAGTGTAGGTCGTGTACTAATTGTTAGCCAATCGGATTTTTTTCCGCTCTACCATACAATCTGAAAGACAGCGTTCATGATGCAAGATGCTTATTTTTTTAAATTTTTTTGGCCTTCTTCCAGATGGAAGCTACAGCCGCCATGCGTGTTTGCTGCCCTTCGCCACCTCCTGAAACGTCAGCATTTACTTCATCAACTTCATCGCCTTTATCCAATGACACTGATGGCAATTCTACTACCACTAACAATTCTATTTTAATTTCCCCTAGCACATCTTACCCCGGAAAAACGCATACGCCACAATTAACGCCCAGTTTGGCCGCTGACAGCGACAGAGGGCCACTGTTGCTTTCCACGCGGCCCCGCCTGCATTCGCTACCTGTTCGTCTGCAATACTCTATCGACACCCCTGCAAATTCGTTACCCTCAACGCGTCGGGCTAGCGACTGGCTCTCAGACGTAACCGCCGAGAATGCCCAGTGGCTGAACCAGGTTGCCAACGATTTCGGAAATACGTGCAACGCCAGTAGCAGTAGCAGTAGCAGCATCGTAGACAAACAAGGGTTACTTTGCCCTCCCCCATCATCAAGCTTGACAGAGGAGGGGGCAGACTCGCCCCTGGGCAAGCGTCCCTCGGCGTTACAGGCTGCTGTTGCCGGAGGCAACAACTCCGCTAGCGATCCGGCATTAGCATCCTTTGTAGCAGCAGCAGGATCTGTCGCACTACCTAAGCGGCAGCAGGCGTCCGTGACTATCGCCATAGTCGACGACGACAACAGAGATTTTGAAGGCGACGACAAGAACAGCACCAATAAGAACTACTGTGAAGCTTTTTGGAGAAACGCTGGCACTCCGCCCCCAGAGCAACTCCAGCAGCAGCACGGCACCGGCAGTCACAGCAAAGAGAGCAACAGTTCCGTGCAGCAGCAGCAGCAGCAGCAGCAGCAGCATCCTCTCAACACGCAGAACTACCACATCCATCCGAGCGACGGCAACCAGCAGCGGCCACAGCAAGACCAGCCGCTACAGCAGCGCCCTCATCCAGAGCTCCAGCAGCAGCAACAGGACCGCCACTTGTCGACGGGTCTGAGACGGCTATCTTCGCACAAGTCGGCCGACTACCCAACGGAGCAGACGTCAGCGGTCCTCTCCGAGAGCGCCGTGCAGGCCACCCACACACAACAGCGGCAGCAGCACCAGAACCACCACCGCCGCCACCATCACGAGCTCCGCCATTCGCTATCGGAGGAGCAAGCTAGATCAGGCAGTGTCAGTTTCGCTCCGACACCGGGGTCGCGCCATCTGAATAGCGGTGCGGCCGGTGGTGTTGCCACCATTGTGGGTAGCCGTTATACTGTCAGGCGAAGTAGCAGCGGTGCTGTGTTGTTAAATAGAGAAAACCTTCAGTCAGGAGTAGGTCAGCAGCGCAGCCAGTCGCTGAACCTCGGAGGAATTGCGGTCGCCGACATTAGTTACGGTGAAGAACAACAGCAGCAGCAGCAGCAGCAGCAGCAGCAGCAAGCAGTGAACCCTGTTCAAACGCAGGTTCATCATAGTCAACAACAGCAAAACGGCTACCGTTCGACGTTCAAACCAGAGTGGACTCTGAAGTGGCCGTATATAGTGCGCTCAGCCAGCGGAGACCCACATGTGTTCTTTTGTGAGATTTGCAAGAAAACAGTGTCGTGCGCTCACCAGGGTCTGAGAGACGTCACCCGTCATTTGGAATCCAGTGGTCACCACACGATGAACTTCAAGATCAGTTTGCCCACGATGGCGACAGAGCATCCAGATTTGCTTACAGCGAGCTTGAGTCTTCAGGCGCTGCGCGATAGCGGGGAGCTCTCCGTAGTGACGACACCACCCCATGAGCACGACAGCGATGATCAGAAATCGGACGTGGCCTCGATGGGACCCCCGGCCTCGCCTCCGCCTGTTGCACATGCGCCTCTTCAAGCGACGCAGGCGATTGCCGCTGCAAATGGCAGACTTAACCCGGCCCTCAAAGACGTACAGTGCCCCATTTGCCTGAAGGTGTTCTCGCGCAAGTTCTCTTTAGAGATGCACTACCTCATCCATCAGAACCTTAAACCTTATACATGCCAACACTGTGGACGCAGCTTTCGACAGAAAGGAACCCTGATGAGACACAAGGTAGGTGAAATCTCTGATATCGACTATGATACAAAGGTCGAACTAGTGGGAAAAGAGTGTGAAGCAGGTATCCAGTGAGGGTTTTGGGCGAAGGGACGACAGGGTAGCTTCTAGCAGGCAACGAGGATTTTTAGGTCTTTGTTCTTGGAAAATAGACTAGTTTTCGGGTTCTGGGCGTTGGGATAATTCGTTTCGGGATACTTCAGTCGACTTTCAAAGATTCTTTTAAATAATGCTACATTGGCGCTACATTGGAGAGGAGCCATCGCAGAAGAACTCGCGCAATAAGTTAATTGAAAAGAGACGATGTTTCGGCGATACGAATGATGCGTTTTTATGGTCTTGTTTCTGGCGACTTCCCATCGTACTCGTTTACCACAAGGGATGTGACCTTCGGATAGTTGATTTGCTGCACTTGAGCCGAACTTCAGTTTGCAAGCGTTTCCTTCCTCAAAGAGATCTGAACAACTGATTTTTTAAGTGAGTAGTTGTTCTAATACAGCTTCTATCAACAGCTTCTATCGTCAAGAAGCGTAACGTGATGCGGAAACAGTTTACTTCTGCACCTTCCGTGTCCGAGATTAAACTTTATCCATTATCTTAAAGCGAACTCCTTGTCTTTGAACCTATCTCTGAAATCTTGAATCGCCAATTGATCAGAGCTCATATCCAGTCGACGTACTATCTGTTTAGCAGCGCTCGTTTAAGATAATTACGTTCGTTCAATGCGTTACAACGATACAAATGACCTCTGAATGAAAAGTCTAATTGAAGCTGTGGGCCCTCAAACTGACCACCCTGTATCCGACGTGTCCACAGAGGCCGATTTCTCATTGCGGAAGCATCGCTAATGAACCATTCGCGTACTATACAAACATAACTCTGTGCGATAAAAATTTCGATAAATTGTTTTCTGTATCCATCGTTGAAAGTCGTATGCCAAGATGTCATGTCTACTGTCCGGCGTGCGCACCTATCTTAAGCATGTGCCCTTAATAAGATTTGACAGCGTTCGTAATTGCTTTCACTAGACTTTCTAGCAACAGTTACCAGATCGCGCAACCTTTTACGGATAGATACATTTCTATGGTGAGAGCAATGCTTTACTGTATCTCCGGTGTAGCAAAGAATACGCTTCATAACAAGCCTATTATCCCCTCATGTACCTTTTCGTCTGAGCGCTGCTTACCGTTCCTACCTGCAACCGTTATCGGCAACGACCGAGGCCAACGATGCGGATACAGCCGAAATAGTGAATAGTGCGTGTCTGTAAATTTCCTCATGTGTTATTTTGTGCGTATGCGGCCATAATCGAACAGCGGTAGTTAAACAAACTGGGAAGCGGGTCGCTGTTCCTAGCACTCGTATTAGTGCCAAGACTACTGAAATACTTCACCTCTTAATTCTGTTCCTGGTCGTGATAGTGCTAAACGCGCTGCGTTTAGGACGTCTGCCACCTACGGGCATATTTAGGGGAAACGGGCTTTTAGTCTAGAAGCTCTAGCAAGGAAAGAGCGCAGGCAGTGTAGCGTAACGTGCCGCGCTCTTAGGCATGTTAAGCTACACTAGGCTTAAAAAACTCAAAAAGCAAGACGTCGACGACAGCAGTTGCTGTACTACTCTATTCGAAGTGGGAGGCCGGACTCATAAACCCGTTCAACACTGCGTTGAGCCAACTGCTTACTTCGTGAACTTTTGTTCCATTACATCTTGTATATATGCTGCTGGTATGACTGCCGATATTCTTATTGTAGAAGTTGTATTTGTACATGAAACTACGTGAATTTCCTTCGTGCATCATACAGTGCATGCGTGATTGGATACTCGGTACTCAGGGAGCTACAGAGGTGGGGTAAAGCTCATGGCCTTAGTTATCTGCTTGAATTATCTGTTTCTAGCCAATATCTGGCGCGCCTATTGTGGCAGCAAGTCAAGCCACCTCTTGTTGTCGACGATCCTTTCCTCGTTGATTTGTGCGACTCAATCGTAGCGTTCTGCCGCCGGGCACTACACTTCTGTGAGAGCGGGGGGGGGGGGGGGGGGCTTCGACCAACCTCGTACTGTCATGATCAGCACCATCAGAATCAACGTTCGCGTCATCGTCGTCGGTGCGACATGTCTGTGCGCTAAGGTACAGAATCCAGTTGTCGCAGAAGCATTTCGATGCCCATATCTCGGTTTTCGCCATTTCACTACTTCAACCGCCATTGCCAGTTGGTATAATATCGTTGATGCTGTTGTTTTTTCAGTTACTGCCGATGATTGCTAGTGTCCCGAACTCTATCTCTTTCTTAGCGATGCCTCGTTGTTCCAATTCGTGCTTCGGTATTGTAGCAGCTTTGTGAATGCTATTAATGATGCACACACACGTACATTTATATATATATATATATATATGTACATATGTGCACGTGTGTATACTGGTTTTACGGTTGCTGGCTGCACTCAGTTTAATTTTGTTCGCTTTGGAGGTCTTACGCAATCTTCGCCCGGCATTCGCCGTCCTTCTGCTGTGCGCATCCGCCTGTGCTTCGGGTCTCGCGACCCTTGTATTTCTACAGGAGGTATGTTCTCGAACCCGCGTCACTGGGCGTTTTACGGAGTGTTCTGCCCTTCGTAACGTCGGAACTTATAGGCACGGAGCGATGCATCAATGTATGTGCTTAGACGCTCTGGTGTTTCGGTGTATGCGTTGCCTCCGGATCTTTCTAGATTGTATCAGTTTAGCACTTTGATCTGATAGAGACGGAGCCTAAGTGTATTACATCAGATGTTCGGATACAGTCGGAGATAGTCAACAGGGGGCGAGGCCCCTTGAAAAAGGGTAAAACCTGTAGTGCACTGCAGCGCCTCCAAATTGACAAGGACGTCGTATTTGCGACAAGGCAACGCTGAGCCTGCACATGTACGTATGCGTCTCAGTGGCCTTCACCAGATATTGATTGACCCCTTTCCTATGGATTTAATGAGCTAATGTGATCTGCTATTGGTTAACACTGCAATAATATTTCATTGGACGATTTAGTTAAAAAAGAAGCAATATTGTGAGATCCAATCAGCTCACGGCTGTCTAGTTTTTTCAGGTAGTAATTATACGTCCTCTTGCCAATGAACGTATGCTACAATATGAAGTAAGCATACATCAGTGTAATGATACAACATTTTTGCGCCATCTGCTACAGAATTTCGGCAAGTTCAAGCACTGTGAGAAAGCAAACAGAAACGCTGAGCAGACTTTATACACCGGCGCAGGGGTGCGTCGGGCGAAGGGTCGGCCAAGAACTTTTATCAGCTCTTTGGATTCGTCAAGATTCCAGCGCAATAGACACGAGATATCAGCTTATACACTCGAAAAGTACCTTACTTATACCTAGTGTTAGCTAGCGTCCATACCGGGCCATCTACTTTGTACAAGCCGCCTGCCACTGCTGCGTAATAACAATATTGTCACGTTTAAGGTCCCAACGGAAATAGCCGAAAAGCAGCAATAATTGCAGCGGAATCGGTAACACCCACAAAAAACAGCCGGCGACGCTAGCGCCGACGTTTCAACAGCACTGGGCCGCCTTCTTTGCTATCGGCTAGTTCCTATGTGTATGTAGTGCTCCATGTAAGCGTATGAAGCGTGTAGTCGGTAGATCACTACCCTCCTTCCAATCCCCACACACCTGCCCGAACGCAACCAGGGATGCTACGTTCTGCGAATAGGTCTACTGGACTTCTTGAGCGACACATAATGATGATGATGCTCAAACTGTTACTGCTGCTGCAGATGCTGCGGCTGCATGGACTGATGCGATGAACGCTTCGGCCCGGCTAGTTAGGCAACTAACAGGATGACTGGCCCCCCAATCGGCCTGAAGGCCGCGGGCTGTTGCATTGTGAAGTTAAAAAGCTTTTTTTTAAAGCTGGCAAATGTGTTTGGGGAGTGCTAGAGAGACACCGACATGCTGGCGTTCGGATCTTCGTTCATCGATAGTCGGCGTTGATCTCTTTCCTCCCTGTAATTTCTGGCAAGGCCGAATGTGTTACGTGGATTACGACCGCTCTTAAGAGTTATTAGGGAACGGCCATGCCGTTAGCCACTACCCCTTGTTGGTTCAAGTAGCAAGAACTAGATTTCGTCTTCTTGCCGCTTGGATCTCTACCGCAGACTCTGAACCGGGTGATCGCTGTTGCTTATTGTTTGTCGGTTAGTCTCTCGTGGGATTGTGTCTCTGGTGTTTTAAGTTTGTGAAGGTCTCGGAGTTTTGAGATCTCGGGGATTGCTAGACTTCGCTGTTTGTCTTTATTATCCTTTGTTTGTACTCTGCAGCAGACCGGCAGGCAATGATAAGGAAGCTTGTTCGTGTCTGTCCTCAAGCGAATCACCGGTGCCGCAACAACGATATGAGCTATTTGGCCTGCATACAACGCTGAACAAGCAGTACGTCTAAAGTGTAAGCTCGCGAAGTGTCTCTGTCTGTGCGTACACGAAAATGTCAGAAGTGCTCGGAATTTCTGCGCAAATATTGCGTGGCTCTCTAACTCGTCATCATCAAGGTACAAAATGTGTTTGAGCAAAAGGGCGGTGGCAAATTCGACTCCAACGGTGCCCTAGTTCATAGGCGGAGTAAGCTAAAGGATCTAGATGCCTCTAGGCAATAACGCGATCGCTGGTGTTGATCATCACTGCATGCTGTACCCTGTGAGACTGCGTAGCTCGAATACATCCATAGTCATGCCATATTATCATGGCCAGTTTACATTTAATCTCAAGCATTCACAAACGTACCCGAATAGAATCTTCTAAGGGGTTCACCTCTACTTTGTATCCGGCCATAGAGCTACGTTGTGCAACCCCTAAGCAGTCAGCTGCCGTACCGTAACCTGGAGCACCAAATGATATTTTCGCTTCTGCATGCACTTACAACACGCTAAATTTGCTGCGGAAGAACAAGATAGTAAGTCATAGAGCAAAGCCCGCTTTGTCAAGTCGTCATCATATACAAAGATTTGAC